CGCGCGAACAGACGCATGCACGGACGGGCGGTTGGACGCATGGACGGTCACACAGACAGACGCATGGACGGGCGGAAGCAAGAACGAATAAACGAACGAATGCTTTGCCCCACTCTTCATCATTCACCTCATGAATATGCTGCCAATTTTTTTATGTTAGCTTCCACGTACTTCTTATGTGCGTGCACCTTCATCTTCTGTCACGTGTGTCTAACTATTTTTACTATATTATAGTACGTGCAGCCGTGGGAACACAACAGGCCAAAGGCTGCGTGCGCTGGCATCTGCAATGCCTGTCATCTATCGCTTCCGTCGGAGGAGCTCTTCAAGGAGTGAACAAGATTTGACAACGAGACGACTTGTACACTTCACCATGAATTCACTTTAAAAAATGTAGAAACTTTATGTGTATGTAGAAAAATAAAAGATTTCGATGTCTCACTTTTGTCTTTCGTTGTTGTCGTGACTGCGAAAGCAGTTACACATAGGTGGCTAAGTACTTTTTCGTGTGTTCTTTTCTGCGCTATTTGTTGCTCACTGCGCAAAAAAACAGGCGAAAAAAGTATGGCCTGGCGGAAAATAAACAAAAAACAATGTTTGAACTTGAGATAAGAAGTTCATCCGATTGGAGTATTTGAGTGGATCAATCGTTGGTCCGGCGAGGTGTAACTGTGAGGACGAACGGTTGCCCCAGTAAGGTGTAAATGTGGGGATTAACAGTTGCCCTATAAGGGGCAAATGAGAGGACTAAATGTTAGTCCGTTGAGGTGACTTGCGGGATGAACGGTTACTCACTAAGGTGTAAATGTGAAGACTATATACTAGTCCCTTGAGCTCGTCTGGGGACTAACTGTTAGACCCGGTGTCGGTAGCCCTTAAAGGGATTAATGGTTGTGGCAGCTCCGTTAGTCCCCAAAAGAACAAACCACACACCCTTTTAACACCCTTTTGCCTCAGAGTGTAGGCACTGAATCTTGGCCTCCAGGGTAGTGCCGGTGGGAGATATGTCCTGTGCGTTGTTGAACAATCGAAATTCGCAGCATGCGCGTTAACGTAAAGCAGACTGTGGGTCTCTGAGTCCAATCGCAATCCTCTGGCTATCGTTATCCACAAGCAGCGATGTTCCAGTAGGAAACACCGGTCAAACCCTGCATGCTTTGCACCTTCCCAGCTCCTGCGCAACGCGTGCTGGGCGTCAACGTCACCGCCAGTGTAGGCGTTAGCACGTGTTGCTTCGCATCTATACGTCGTTCCCTTTAGCGGAAAATGGCGTAATTCTCCCACAAACCTGCACTACTTTCCGCAAAAACAGAGACTTCAGTGCTACCAAACAGAAAGGTGGTGGCGTGTTGTTTGCCATTGACAGTTCTCTGAAATGCATTAGACGCGAAGATATGGCATTTTTCCTAGAATCGATCTGGATACAAATTATCATTGAGCGTCGGAAAATAATAATGATAGAATTTTCCCACTTAACACCCAGCATTTCCTCTGCCTTGTTTCATGATATTGTGTCTTCTATTGAATTTGTGATATCGTCTCGTAGTGGGCCCAGAATTATTGTTTTTGATGACTTCCATGCACGTGGAATGGACTGGAGCCCGCTGATTTTTTCTCATTATAATCAATTCATTGAGAGAAAGTACAGCCTGCTCTTAGATTTTCCGGTGTTCATTTCCCTACTGCAGTATACCATCGTCGTTGATTGCAAAGGCAATGTCTCTGACCTCTGTCTGTCAAACGGTCAACCTGTCACGCTCCAAGAAGTTTCACGCTCCAACAGCTCTCTTGTTTTTGTTGACAAATTCCATCCGCCATTTAACGAAATATTATCTGTATGAGCCGAAAGAACGAGCTACAGCAGTTATTTTAACCAGTCTTCAAGATTCGCTTTCAAAAGAGGTGACTGCACGGGACTGTATTATTACTTGTCAGCCGTTCATTGGTCACAGGTTTCTGACAAAGCAAATTTGGATGGTAAAAAGTGAGGCAGTACGTTCATTTATGTCATGTGTTTCATGTGCACAAAATTCAACTATGAACAGTCTACGGACGCCATGATACTACCCTGAACTCATAGGTGCCTTTTGAAGTAGTGCACCTGGATTTTGTCGAAATAAACAAGAAACGGCAAGGAGTCAGGAAAAAACAACCTTTCTTCTGGCCATAGATGAATGCACCAGGATGGTCGCGACACGAGCGGGAAAGAAAGATGCAAATAGCGTCATAACCCCCTCGAAAGGGGCATGTTTAGGGCTACGCGGGCAATTTTATGTGATAACGGCATTGTCTGCAAGAGGGAAAAGCTAGCGATACGGGCACAAGATCACAATATATTTATAAAATTTTGTGCACCATAACATCCCACAGCGAATGAACTTACAGAACGTACCATACGGGACGTGAAACAGTACATCAAGATATACGACAGTCTTCCTGGTGGATGGAAATGCTGCTTGAAAGCGGCCGTGATCATCAATCATACGCAAGTGACTTGGGGTTTAGTGCACAATACGCTTCCTCAGGAGAAACACCTATTCTGGAGGCAGGCTGTGAGTGGGGACTCCTCGAGGAGAGGCAACAAAAATCACCGTAACATAAGTACCAAAAACGAATGAAAAACATTTTTGACAGGAGACATTGATGAGACATGCGAGACATTCCAGTCAACGACCTCGTACTAAAGAGCAAATGAATAAGCGATCCCAGTTCCTAATTTCATGGTTTTTGCTCTGTGACAGAGACAGCCACACTGGAGGAAATTTTGAAGACTTTCTGGTACGTGTGGATCAGGTTGAAGGTGCTTCGATTAAAAATGTCTTCCAGTATTACCCACGGAGGGGTAACTGAAAGGGAAGGGTGAAGTGGTACGAGCATTTCAATAAAAGATGAAGCACGAGAGCAGAAAATAAGACAAAGCTAAAAATAAAGTAGATTACCATGACTTGCAGCTCCGCAGTGATGTAGTTGCGTTCTTTGAAGTAGCTACAGTACAATATTATTATTATTATTATTATTATTATTATTATTATTATTATTATTATTATTATTATTATTATTATTATTATTATTATTATTATTATTATTATTATATTTGCATACACATATACACGAGGGCACAAATAAAAAAAAGGAGAGAGCAAGCGCTGGAAACTGCCACCTGAAGGGGCACAGCAGCTGTTGTACATATACGATACACTTGCAGTCATTTCTATGCTCCTCTACTTTTTTGTACATATAAAGCATGGTGGAAAACGGAAAACGCCCAACTGCGCTGCCGCATCATTAATTCATAATGACCTCGCATGACGGTGCGCCTGTAGATGGTCTTTAGTTTGAACAAGCTATACCTTGTTAGTACGAGGTATTAAGTTCGAGAAAACAAATTTTACGATCATAAAATGCACGAATCGTGAAGGTTCTCGTGCATCGCTACACGGCTTGCAGTCACTGTTCACCCAGCCGAAGAATAACATCAATCTGCAGAACGACTACAATTGGCTTAACGTTTGCTTGATTGAGTCCAGCGACTGGTATAAGAGCACTCCATTATTCCGGGCCCATTTCTTCTCATTCGCGTCACAGCTCCCCCCAGAGACACAGTGCAAATGAAAAATAAGTGTTTTTGTAACGTGGTAGAAATTCTTATTATGCGAAATTCGTAGAACCCAGAACGCTATATACAATCTCTGTGAAAGCTTGCTCTCGTTCTACCGTCTTACTGACAAAATCCAGACGCCTTGAATTGATATCAGGCTCAGTCAAGTGATCCTTCTAACTACACCCGCTACGTGGTGCAATTTCTACATGATGCTGTTTGCCATAGTGTCAGCGTACGTGTGTCTCATATAGAAATGAAAGAAAGGGGCAACTTTAAATACGTAATATATATGTTGCACTCCATTCTTGCCATTTTCTTTGTTTTTTTTCAACAAACTTCTGCTAAGCATTGTAGCTTGACTGCATGAAACTAACAAGCGAAGCATTATGTATGCGGATATCTGCCCCGCCACGCATGCTCGTAACCTTACCAAAGATTTTCAAAACAGCTGTAAATAAACAAATATAGGCTAGTTAACGTCGTACAATATTTGTTTACATGTGGTTTGAGTACATAAAAACTGATAAATTGAAGCATGCTATTAAGAATACTTGTTCCTGAGGGAACAACAATATCGACTACGACGACGATGAATCAAGTTTTTTTCTTTTATTTTGTGCTTCTAAAACATGTTGAAGAGTTGTTAAAGATATGAGCATTTCTTACTAACTAGGCTAATATTTTCTCTAACATAGCCAACCAAACCATATAGCACTGTACAACAGCTACTCTTCTTTAGGGAATCGTTACCACGTCGGCAAGAAGAAAATGATTCTAAGCAAGAAAAGAAATATTGAATAACAGCTTGGTAGTCAATCGTTCACATCTCGTGTCTATCATTCTTATTCTGGATTACCCTCGAGAATGCCCGGAGATACAGTGCCTTCAGGCGCCACTTCCGAAGGCAAGTAATCACTGGCATTTCCGAAAGGGAGCCGCCAGAGCAAACAACAGGAGTCGGGAAGAGAAAATTTATTCAAACAAGTCACAAAGACCTTTTGGCTAGGTTGTGACCTGTGCGCACGTCCGCGCATGGCGGCGCGAGAATGTCCCACGTCCCACTCGCCTGATTCTACTTTTCTCTCCCCTGCACTTCGCTCGCCACTTGTCCAGCCGCCTCCCTTCCATCATTCCCTATTTTCCCGCGATGCCGTCAGTGATGCTCTCCTACGCACCGCTCCACGCGGGCCACACAGCGGCAGCACCACGTGACAATTACGTCACTCACAAGGCCACCAATGGCGTTCGGAGCGAATGCACCCTCCTCCGCAAATTCACCGGGGCTCCGGACTCGACCACCTGGGGAAAGGGAAAGAATGGGGAAGGGCCAGCCTGAGGCAGTGGTGAAGGTAACAGGCTGAGTGGGAGCATCCATAAAACCAACTGAGCGAAAGGCGCGAGGGTGACCACGGAGTTGACTTCGAGCCACAGGTTTCGACGGGACACCCCTTCGCGAAAGGACCCGTACGTCGAAAGCGAGTGCGCGCGCCCGTGCACGCCTCCCCGCGACGACGCACTAGTGCGCGGAACAACTGAAGCACGCGTCAGGGAACATTTTTTTTTCTCCTCGGCGCTGTTTGCTCGAGTCAAGAGACCCCGGGCCGGACCAGGGAGCAGAAGGGAGCGCCGAAAACACTCCACACAGTTAGCGCGGCACTCAACTGAAGCCGTGGTTTCTCGTCTTCAGCAGTTCGACCCAGTGACGGCGAAGCTTCGAGATCGGGATAACTCTCTAACACAAACAGTCTCAGTCCTGTACTTTCGCTGCTCGCTCTCTTCTGAATCTCGCAATTTTTCAAGAAAAGCGACTAGGCAGCCGCTTTTCTTCGGTGACGTTACGCGGTCAAGTCTCCGTGCATTGGCGGTGAACTCTCGCATCACGAGAAAGCGGAGTCTCTGAGCGCGGCAGGCTACTGGACCCCGGCGGTGAAGAAATCGTCAACGCTAGCCATCCCCGCAGGGACATCCGCAGATCACGCCACAACCAACAACCATGCTGAAAGCGAGAGGCGTCACCCTCGGCTATTCCCAATTCATACTGGTATTGGGTGTAACGCTACTGCTCGCCGCATCCGGTAAGTCCAAAAGCAATTCTCAGCTCTCTTCTTTTAATCAACCGCTTCTCTAACCCACTATCACGAGTAACACGTCCTTCACCTCCTTATGTTTTCACCAATAGCTTCTTCTGTATCAAAGATCTGACAACCACGATATTTCAAAGCATGATATGATGCTGCCATCAATAAGAACGTCACGAAGTAAATTATCTGCAACCGTACTATGTTACGAAACCCAAGAATGTGCTTCGCATGCAAAAGCTGCAGTATGCGTGTATATTTTATGCGGGAAAACACAAAGTGGTATTGAAACTCAATAAACTTGCATATTCGCTGCCATAAAGCTTTTAAAAGCAGCCGACATGGGCTAAGAAGATTTATAAAATGTGATGACAGTTGACTAAAAAACGCAAGAAAAAACGCAGTTTCCAGCAGTGTTAAGCTGGTCGCAACAAAGGTACGAAAGTACTTTTTTTCGCTTTCTCAAACAAAATGGTCATTGTGTATATAAATAAAAGATCGAGCGTTACTTGAACGAACCTCCTGAAAAGTTTTGGCGTGTGTGATAAAAGTTTTGCAGTAAATAAAAACGGAAGGTCTCCAGGAAGCGACCATCCCCTTGAGCTTTTGGTATACGCCGGGAAGGAAAATGCCGCCTGCGTGGTTTACTCCACCTCCAGTATCAACCTTTCACCACACCGAAATGCAGCTGATGCTCGCGCATAATTTTTAAATTACGACCTGAAATCTCGCCGTAAACCCCAGGCTCACTCGCGAAGCACAAGCTTCCTTGCTTCAATATTATTCTTTTTTACCCGTAAAGCATGCTTTGCCTGGCAATGACAATTGATGCGACTAAGTGGGCTTGACTGCTGCATTCCAGTTGGCTTTAAGAGAATCAGGCAAACGCTGACCAGCATTACACTTCAATTGAATCTTGAGAAGTCATGGCATTACTATTCCTTTGGAATTACGTCTGAGCTTTGGTCGTTGTCAATTGGGGCCAGCATGTTGTTATCAATGACGTCTGCCTTGTGTCACGAGTGCGGTAACCTCGAAGACATAGGTAGTTTTTGCTTTGTTAACTTGCCAAGCAGAGGCTTCTCGCTTGGACATATCAATAACGAAACGGATTATACAATAAACAATAAAAGACCGCAACTAAATAACGTAACCTGTATATAAACCTGCGCAAACAGCCCTTCATGCAACGCTTTTTTATTTATTGATGTTATTGTTGCAGAGGTGTACGCGCGTTTTTGCGAATAGCGGATTGAAAATCAGCTGCTGCCGCTTCTTGCCATTCTGTCGCATAATTTACAACGAACTATATAGTGAATCAGTAGCGTAGTGGTTGTTGGAACAATAGCATACCATCAATTCACAGTACAGGCTTCTTATGCATGCAGTAATAATCAACTTGCTATGAATTTTATATGGCGAAAGCGAATCGACTCACCCGTCTCTTTACAGATTATGGTTGTAACTGAAAAAAAAAGAATAGACATTATAATCTTTATCGTTTCAATGCTATTTTCAACAAACACTAAAAAGTGCTCGAGTTCTCAAGAATTAATTAAAATTCATTTTACAGATTGTTTCCAGTTTTATACTCCTTTGTGTTAAGCCTTAGCAGAACACCATCACAACTCTATAATACTTTGCTCCCTGGGAGCTTACCCATCGGCACAGAAAGAACCCCAGGTGGTCAAAATTTCCGGAGTCCTCCACTACGGCGTCTCTCATAATCATATGGTGGTTTTGGGACGTTAAACCCCACAAATCAAATCAAACCCATCGGTACAGAAGGCAATAAAACTATTCGGATGTTTGAACATCTTTGCAGCGTCAGGCTGTACGACTACGTTTGCATTCAACGTCTACACACGTGCCTTGATTTATCTGCATAGCACTCCACGAAAGTGCATGACGTCGCAAGAATAAATTAAGTGCTGGAACTGAACAATGAACGGTCTTTCATCTTGTAAGACGAACAGAATATTACGTAGCAAAAGTACGACTTTGAAAACAAACGTGTTTTATGCGTTACGTTATGTTAACTACACGGCGTAGCAATAATGGTGCTTAAGACTGCTTCCGTTTCACGGACTATCTAATAATAATTTTTAAGGTTGGCGGACTTTATTATAAAATTTCAGGAAATTCGGACCACCTGAGGTTTCTTTTTTTTTTTAATCTAACACGCGCCCATAAAACTTCGCCTTCGCAGAAATGCGGCCGACATCCAATCTTCGAATCCGCAGTGAAGCGTCAAAATTACTAGACCACCACGGCGAGTGCGGAACTGTCTAACGGGAGCCGCGCTACTCTTTTGTACACAACAAAACATTATTCAATCATGAACATTCGCCCCACCGCGTATGTTTAGTGGCCAAGGTACTCGGCTGCTGACCCGCAGGTCGCGGGATCAAATTCCGGCTGCGGCGGCTGTAATTCCGGTGGAGGCGGAAATGTTGTAGTTCCGTGTGCTCAGATTTCGGTGCGCAATAAAGAACCCCAGGAGGTTGAAATTTCCGGAGCCCTGCACTACGGCGTCTCTCATAATGAAATAGTGATTTTGGGACGTCAAACCCCACATATAAATCAATAAATCATGAGCAGTACTCTGGCGTTTGCTTCATAATGGCCACTCGTAAGTGCCGTGTTTGGCCACACACGAAGGCGAAGCTTCAGATCATCCAGTCTATCAATCACTCTGCGATGGCTGCCTGCCGTTGTATTTGCAAGGCACAGCACGGTTATTTATTTCGCTGGACTGAGCTCACCAAAGAAACATGTCTTCATATTGGAGATTACAAGACACTGGCATCATTATCAACCGGCGCAATTTTCTTCGATAAGCCATACACGTCGAAAATAAGCATTAACAGCAGCACACAGGCGGGATTCTCACGGGCCGTACAGCACACGTAATGTGAGACAAATAGGATGATTTCACTAACATATTTTCAAAAAACAAAAAATTGGGTCACTTGGGCTTGTTTAAACAGGAAGTAATTAGTATCCCACGTTATCGTATATTCTTTCATATGGGAGAGCGTTGGTTTGCTACGGTATTACAGCGAGAACAGGTCATATTTTAGTTCAATCGAATGTACTAGAATTTGGTTCTTCCTTACGTAAATTCGAAATCATTGTCTATGTTATCACTGGGCATGATAACGAGGCCGTTTTGCGTACCAGTATGACAGTAGGATCAGTCACATGATTCGTGCAAGCACGCGAACCAATCTTTGTGCTCACCACAACGTATTATAATGAGGCTACTGTACCGAAAAGACGGCAAAGTGCGTGACTCACAAAACTTCTTTTTTATGCCGTTTCAGTTAAATTGGAGCCACCAAGTCATGCAACTAAATATGTAACCAGCATGCAAAATATAGAATGGAGCCGCGACGCCACAGAAACTACTACCGAAGTGACTCATTAGAGTACGCTTAATTTAGAGTATGCTAAATTTCGGTTTCGCCAGATATCACAAAGTCCTAACATACTGAAACTCTTCATACGACTGTGTGCTTAACATTTTAGGAACGACAAGTAATGGCGTAGCGAGCACCGTTTTCAAAAACACTGAATGTTGAAATTTTATTCACCAAGCTTGACAACACTGTGGTGGCCGTTGTTACTGAAGAGAGTCTAATTTATCGCACTACGCTTATCTCCGCGTTGAACTCACTCAATTTCCCATCTCTCCAGCAAAAGTTTTCCTCTTGGCGTGCGTCAATACTCTTTGAATTACTTCTCGACTCACAACACCGAAACAGTTTAAGCCGAGCGTAATGCTGACATTGAAAACAGTCATCATCATGAACCATTCCGATTTCTCTGCGCTGTAGACGTTCCTCAGGTAAGCTGGCCAACGTGAGCCAGAGTTGAAGCTTAGTATAGCTTGTGGGTAATGCGTTAAGGAACATAGACAAATACTGGGATAAAGCTTCTATAAAAGAGTGAATGACGTATTTATTTATTATTTATTCATTTATTCATTTATTTCAAATACTGTCAACTATCTTGCGAGAGTCCTTAGTGAGAGGGCAACGTAACATTAAGGATAGGAAGAACAACACTCGCAAGTACACAAATACCAAAACCAAGTGGTACGTACACTCGTACAGATAGCCATCTATGGTCTGTTCAAAGTTTGACAAATCGTTCAGTTCACACCAGACAGCGACAATTGATTCCGTGTTTCAGTTACGTTAGGACTCAAGAAGGAGTAACTGAAGCTGCAGGTGGAGTGATGTAAGCTACGCTTGGAATGCCCTGTTGTGATTGGTTCTTGTTTACCTGATGACATTAAGTAGATTTATTTGCTAATATTTAGTTGAACATTTAGTATCTCAAGTAATAGCTTCAGGCGGTCTTTCTGCCTGCGCGTTTCTAACAGATGCAGGCCAGAAAACGGAGCATTTCTGTAACTGTCTCTGTCCATCATTATCGGGAGCATATAAGTCTAACCGCGTACCTCTGACTTTTTTCTAATTATTTCTTTTGATAATTTTGATAAGGGCTGCATACCACCAACGAGTACTAAAGAGCTGACCTTACAATGAATTTGTAAGCAGTAAATTTCGAATCGACTGTTGCATTCTCAACCCTTTTTCGAAGAAAAAAAAAAGATGGCTTCACGTATGCCTTTGAAAAAAACAAACATTGTTAGTGCGTGTGTTCCACTATAACTTTTGCGTCATCGTTAGTACTAAATATTCAAATTAGGTAGTACTTGTTTTCAATGGTATGCAGAAGAACAACAGTGCTTCTTTGTCGTGCATGTCTTTTTAAAATAGTTTATCTTCCTATATCATTTTTTGCACCAATCGTTCAACGCCCATAAAGTGCTATTTTTTGAACTCGGTTCTGCTTGTCTTGCACTGTATAAACCGTCAATAGTGAAAACTTAGGTTGCACGATTCGCTTGGTGATGGCACAAATGTCATTGATATTGATATACACCAAATATCAGTACAGATCCCTGCAAGACTCCTGAGAGCACG